GCTGGGGAAGGAAGAGAAGCTGGAAATGATAACAAAATAAAATTGGGGGGATGGGAAGATGAGAGTTGAACTAGAAACCTTCTGACGTCCCGTCTAGCTCTACATCTTTGATCTTAGTATAAGTATTCTTCCCCGATGAGGACAGAAGATAGAAGGGTGGAAGGTGAAGGTGGAATCCAATGCTTTTCTTTCTCCTTGTTTCAGCTGTATAAAAGTAAGTTGCAGAAGAGGGTTAAAGCCCACTACACAGCATGGTAGAATGGAAAGAGGATTGGGTTTGAATGTCAGCTCCGCCACTTATTAACCAAGTGACCTTGGACAAGTCACTGATTTTACCCCTCTAGGCCTCTGTGTTCTCATCTTTAAAGTCGGGAAATTGTGACTAGATGACTTTCAGGGGCCCTTCCAGCTGTCCATCTATGGTCCTCTGGTCTCAGGTAAATAAGGAAGGACTGAAAAGTTTGTAGGAGCAAGGAAGCCCAGCAGATTGGAGCAGGTTCAGAAGTCAAAGGCATCAGCCAGCAATAATGTTCTAGTTCCTGGGCCTGAGGGAATAATTTTTCTCCAACTCGAAGGTTTCTGTTGCTCCATTCATCTAGGATAGTTTCAGGGTCCCCCCCCGCAAGCTCCCAGGGCAGCTGTTCCTTCCTCTGCTTCCAGGGCACTTAGAATAGCAACTCAAGGAGAAGAACAAAATGCTGACTATGCCAGTAGGCAGTCCTGGCTCTTGTAGGAGTTCTTCATGCCACTCTCTATGCCTGCATTGAAATCCTCCCCCAAAGGAAATAGCTTCAAAAGTAGGGGCTCTTTTGTGAATGGAGACCTCCCCCTCAACAGCAGTAGCAGCTTAGTGCTGGGGAGAAGTGAGGTTTTACCTTTACCCCCGCCATCTCTAAAATACAATTGATCACTTGCATCTGAGTTGGTTGCATTGACCAGGGTATTTGGGCAATCTGCTATCTTTATACCCCATCCTGGGGCCAATTCCTAACCCACCTGGGACTAAATTGTTCCCTTGGGAAGGAAAAGGCTGCTCAGTAAGTCAGATTAGTGACCAGAGGCCTTTCTTTGAGCTCCAGTCATCTACCAATCAATCAATAAGCATTTATTAAGCACCTACTATGTGCTCGGTACTCTGTGCTGGGGATACAAAAAGAGGCAAAAGACAGACCCTGCCCTCAAGGAGCTTCCCATCTCATTAGTTTGTCTCAACCTTCTGCTCCTTCAACCTAGCTGCTGAGAGTAGCTTGTGTCTGTCCCACAAATAGAAAAGGAAGAGGACCACATGGTTAGAGAGGCCATGGGCCAAACTCAGGGCCCTGCCTTCTTGTTAATCAGTATGCACATGGTGCTTAATGGTTATCAAACACTGGCACAAGACAGATTGTCACTTGGTCTTCACAGCAACCCTGTGAGGTTGGAAGGTCTTCTCTCCCATTTTCCAGACAAGGAAAACTGAGGCTTGGACATTATTAAGTGGCATGCTCAAGTTTAGTTGGTTGGCAGGGCCAGGGCAGGATGAGGGAAAGAATGCTGAACTAGGTGTTGGAAAACACCCAACTCTGCCACTTACAAGCTGTATGAACAAGCTGCTTTACCTCAAGAACCTGTGTGTCTTCATCAGTGAAATGAGAAGTTATCCCAAGGTTCCTTTCAGCTCTAAAATTCAATGATTAAGATGGATTAGTGGATGAAAGGAAACAAGGATTTATGTAGCACCCACTATATGCCAAGCACTGGGCAAAGTGCTTTACAAATATTATCTCATGTGATCCTCACAACGACCCTCGGGGGTAGGTGGTATTATTATCCCCATTTTACAGGTGAGGAGACTGAGGCAGACAGCAGTTAAGTGACTTGTCCATGGTCATACAACTAGTAAGTGACTGAGGTCATATTTGACCTTCCTGACTCCAAGTCTACTGTTATAACCCATTGTACTACTTATCTGCCCTAGAAAAGGAAAAGGGTTATTGATGAGAATAATAAGAGCTGACATTTAGAAAGCATTGTGTATGGCTTTAAAAGCACTTCATGTAGATGATCTAATTTATTACCTTGTATTTCACTTGTACATATATATACTGTATCTATTTGTGTGTGAGTATGTCGTTTCCCCAGAAAGAATGTGAGCTCTTAACACGGTGCCTGGCACATTGTAGCTATTTAGCAAGTGCTTATCTGTTAATGACTTGAGTCTCACAGCAGCCATGTGAGATAAGTTGTTGTTAGTCCTTTATTCTCAAAGAGGACCATGGTATTAGGGAGGTGATGCCATGACATGCGAGGGAATTGGGTTTAAGTGTGGGAGGACTGTGCAAAGTCACCAGCCTCACTCCTCCAGAGCCATCTGAGTCAAGTGGCAAGATATAGATCAGGACAACTAGAGATGGCCCAGGATGCAGTGAGGGACCTTGGGCTTTTCAAGCTACGGTCTTTAACGGGTCTGAGTTTGACCAGAGCTACACCCATTCAGTGGTTAAGGCTTAATAAGAATTGAGGCAGAGAATGGCTTCTTTACCTAATCAAAAATTAAAAATATAAATAAATAGAGATAGGTAGTATAATCAGTATTAACCCTGTTTTATAGAAGTGAAGGGCAGCTAGGTGACACAATGGATAGAGTGCTGGGCCTGGAGTCAGGAAGACCTGAGTTCAAATGTAACCTCAGACACTTACTAGCTGTGTGACCCAGGGCAAGTCATTTAACCCCGTTAGCCTCAGTTTCCTCATCTGTAAAATGAGCTGGAAAAGGAAATGGCAAACCCCTCTAGTCTCTGTGCTAAGAAAACCCCAAATGGAATCATCCAGAGTTGGAAACAACTAAAAATGACTGAAACAACAACAACAACAACATAGATGTGAAGCAACTTGTCCGCAGTCAAGTGGAAAAGCCACAATTTGAACCCAGGTCCTTTCACTTTAAATTAAGTGACTAAGGGAAAATTCTGTCTCCTGGTAGTGAGCAACCAGAGATTCTGAGGAACAAAGACTGAATATGTGAAAGTCTGTAGGAGAGAGAGTGAGAAAGAGCAAAGACTAAAAGAAATAACATGGAGGATAAGACTTGGTCTTCTTGGAGAGAATTAGTGACCTGTCCAAGGTGGGGCAGCAAGTTAATGGCAAATTCATCAAAGGCTAAAGGGACCATGAGCTAGAAAAGCTGATTGACTTCCAGCCTTGGAGCCCCTGAGTCCTCTTATCTCAGGACATTGACAAAGCCAGGTTGTCCAATAACTTTGCACCTTGGTGGAAATCAGGTCTAGTGGCTTCTGCATTTAATTGGAGTGAATCTATTTCCTGTCACAGGGTGCGAAATGGGGCTTTTCTTAGCTTTCACCCCATTGTCTCGTCCACCTCACTCCCTTCCTCCAACACATAAATACATAGAAGAACCCAGCTGACATGGCAATATACGTAGGGTGTGCTGCGCGTAAAAATACCCAAGTTGAGCCATTTCCTTCTGCTTCCGTTGTTGCTTGTGATAAGATACCCCAGGCTGAACTAGGCAGCCTAGGAGTTTGGTGCCATTATGAAAAGTCTCCTGGTTTTTCTGTCCTTTGGGCATTTGGGGTGGTGGTGTTCCCCCCCCTTTCTTAGCTCCTTTTCTTTTCTTTTCTTTTTTTTCATTCTTTTTCCATCTGCCTATGTTTTCCCCCATCTCTCTCTGCCTTTTTCTTTGTTCTCTTTCCTTGTGGCTAAGTGACACTCTGGTGTTTTGTGTAGAGCTCTGCTGTATCTGGGAGGGGAAGGTAGCAGTGTCTGTCATTTCCCCTCAATCCGACTGCCTCCCTTCAGAACCTGACTCCTTCAGGTCCTCAGAAAGTTCAGGAACCTCTCACCTAACTTATCCTACCTGGCCTGTGAGTCACTTCTTTTAGCTTTGGTTCTTGGGGAGTTCTAGCCAGTTGGCTGAATTCTCCCTAAAGCCTGGGGAAAAGGGGAGGGGCTTGCTTGGATGCACCCACCGCCATGAAGCGGAAGATATTGGTGACTCCCCATGAAAGCTGGAAGGTAACATCACCCATACCCCAGAGTGCTTCAGGGGTCACATACAGACTCACGAGGTGGAGCATGGTTGGGGACAGCAAGAGGCTGAGACTGGGGAGGGCAGGACTTTCCAGTGGATATTGGAATGGAGAATTGGAATAAGTTTGACATCATCTTTACAATTCTCCAACAAAGAGCTGGACTTATTCAGTGTCAATACTGAGATAGATGTAGGGTGTTTGTCCTTCCCCCAGAAGTTTCCAGTGCATATTTTATTTACAGGCGGGGAAATCAAGGTGCAAAAAGACTTATGTGTAATTTGTTTTGCTTGATTATGCGTTCCTGTTGCAAGAGTTTGGTTTCTCTTTTTCTTTTTTCCTCATGTGGGATGTGGGTTGGAGAGTGAAGGAGGAATAGGGATTTGATAACAAAAGGAAGGAAGGAAGGAAGAAAAAGAGAAGGGAAAAAGAGAGAGTGGTTTGTTTTTTTTTTAAAAAAAACAAAGAGAAGAGAATAAAAGGAAGGCCAGGAAGAAGCATAAACAAGCAGGGTAGCTTTGAAAGCTACAGGCTAAACTTGTTATATATTTTAAAAGTTATATATACTTTGTTGTATATACTTTGTAAAAAATCAGTTCTTTGTTATAAGAGATGGTTGTCTGGGAGAGGAAAGGAAAAAGGATATAGGGGGAAATTACAAGAAGGAAAAAATCAGTAAAAATTTTGTTTTAGAATAGCAAGGTGTACATAATAATGATCTGCACTTTTAGATACCATCCTCTTTTTTCTACACATATATATACACATATATCTGGAAATGCCTATTTTATTTGGTGTTTACTAAATTCAGAATAAAATAAAATAAAATAAAATTGAAAAGACAAAAGAACACAAAAGAACCAATTAAGTGGCCTCATTAAGAAATAGAACCACAAATTATCCCATCAACCCCAGAGCTTCTCCTCCCAATCCATTTCACTTACCTCTCTCCTTTTTTTCTCTTACCTCCAGGCAGAAAAGGGTGACCTCATCACACTTCCTGGTGGCCCCGGCCATGGAGACTCAGATGGCCCCATCAACCTGGATGTCCCTGAAGGGACCCCAGATCCCCACCGGACCAAGGCCGCTATTGAACACCTGCACCAAAAGATTCTCAAGATTACGGAGCAGATCAAGATTGAGCAGGAGGCCCGGGATGACAATGTGGCTGAGTATTTGAAGCTGGCCAACAATGCAGACAAGCAGCAGGTGTCACGCATCAAGCAGGTGTTTGAGAAGAAAAACCAGAAATCAGCCCAGACCATAGCCCAGCTACACAAGAAACTAGAGCATTACCACCGGAGGCTGAAAGAGATCGAACAGAATGGGCCCTCCCGACAGCCCAAAGACGTCCTGAGGGACATGCAGCAGGGGCTGAAGGATGTGGGGGCCAACATGCGGGCGGGCATCAGCGGCTTTGGGGGCGGTGTGGTAGAAGGTGTGAAGGGCAGCCTCTCAGGGCTCTCCCAGGTGACCCATACAGCCGTGGTGTCCAAGCCCCGGGAATTCGCCAGCCTCATCCGTAACAAGTTTGGCAGTGCCGACAACATCGCCCACCTGAAGGACCCACTGGAAGATGGTCACCCAGAGGAGTCAGCCAGGGCTCTAAGCGGCAGTGCCACCTTGGTGTCCAGTCCCAAGTATGGGAGTGACGATGAGTGTTCCAGTGCCAGTGCCAGCTCAGCTGGAGCAGGCAGTAACTCTGGGGCGGGGGCCGGCGGGGGACTAGGGAGCCCCAAGTCCAACACTCTGTATAGTCATCCCAACAACCTAGATACTCTGCTGGAAGAGTTGCGGGAGATCAAGGAGGGTCAGTCACACATGGAGGACTCCATGGAGGACCTGAAGGCTCAGCTTCAGCGGGACTACACTTACATGACCCAGTGCCTACAGGAGGAGCGCTATCGGTAGGAGGCTCCATGATCACGCCTGTGGGCCCTGCCCACCCCGATTCTCTTTCTTCTCTTCATGCTTATCACTTAGATATAGCGTCTCTGAGAGATGGTGTCTCCAAATAGCTCCTCTGTGGGAGGAGAATGGAACAGGCAGGATCTAGGAAGATCCTGGAACGCTAGGATGGGGAGACCAGAAGGGGACCTTAGGGCCACCTGAAGGCATGGGGGTGGATTAGGGTGACCTCGGATGATTTTGCATACACATATGTGTGCATGTATATGTATGTGTATGTATACGTGTACATACACATGCACACATATCTGTATATACATACATTGTGTATATACACGTATATACACACAGTCATATATACATATATATATAGATGTGTGTGTGTGTGTGTCTATAAAACCATCCATGGTCACCCTAATTTGCCCCTATGCCTCTGTGTGTGTGTGTGTGTGTGTGTGTGTGTGTGTGTGTGTGTAGGAAGCAGCTAGGTGGCTTAGTGGATGGAGCACTGGGCCTGGGGTCAAGAAGACCTGACAAATAGGACCTCAAACACTTAATAGCTGTGTGACCCTGGACAAGTCACTTAACCTTTATTTGCCTTAATACACTGGAGAAGGAAATGGCAAATCACTCCAGTATCTTTGTCAAGAAAACCCCATGGACAGTATTGGTCCATGGGGTCATAAAGAATCAGACATATAAACACATATATACACATACATATACATACATACATGAGGTATTAGTTATCATATTCTATATGCCTATATATTTTATATTGGGTTTTATAGACACACACACACACATATATATGTATATATGCCTATATGCCTATATATTTATATTCTATATGCCTATATATTTATATATATTTTATGCATACATATGTGTATGTACAGTAAGATGAAGTGGAAAGAATGTTAGCCTAAGAGTCAGGAGACCTGAGTTCTGTTCCCAGGTCTACTACTAATTAGCTATATAACCTTAAGTAAATGACTTCATCTCCCTAGGCCTCAGTTTACCTACCTGTATAACAAGGAGGCTAGACTAGATGATCTATAGGCTTTATTCCAACTTTGACATTCTATGATTTTATGAGCTGAAGGCATGAGGGAAGGTAGTGGCAATATCATGGAAAGAATACTTGATTGGAAGTCAGGAGTTCAGGGTCCTAGTCCCAGCTTGACTTTTAAACAACTGGGTAACCTTGGGCAAATTGCTTCCCCTCCATAGGCCTCATTTTCCTCCTCTGCAAAACCAGGGGCATGGATTTGTTGACCTCCACAGGATTTTCTGGCTTTTAAATTCTAAAAGTCTTTGAATAGCCTCAAAATAACAAACCTAGTTCAAGCCAAACAAGTAAAATGCCCTTGGACGTTACATGGATGGGAAATTCGAGCACAGGACCAGTTTATGGATCTAGTTTAGAATTTCTTATACCAGGCTGGAACCAACTGGAATCTCTCTCTCTCTCCCCTGAATAAGGGGGGGGGGGTGGTCATCATCATCATAAGAACAGCTCATGTTTCATATGGCATTCTATGCTTTTCAAAGCAATTTCCTCTCAACCAGTCAATCAAGAAATATTTATTAAGCTCCTACTGTGTGCAAGGCATTGTGCTAAGTGCTGGGCATACAAAGGAAGGTAAAAGACAGTCCCTGCCCTCAAGGAGCTCCCAGTTGAATGGGGAAGACAACATACAAGCAGCTAGATACAAACAAGCTATAGACAGGATACATTGGAGAGAAGTAGCAGAGGGGAGGCAATAGAATTGTAAAGTTATCCCTGTTTTGAAGATGTAGAGAGATAAAATGACTTGTCTGTGGGCACATTGCTAGTAAATAACAGAGCCAGAAATTTAACCAAGTCTTCTATGAACATTGTAGTGCTAGTATGGTGCCATATAATAGAGTTGTATAATATGTAATAGTACTAGGAGGCATAATTCATATAGCCCTCAACCTGGAGTCAGGAAGACCTGAGTTTGAATCCTGCCTCAGACACACACTGTGTCACCCTGGGCAAGTCACTTAACTTCTCTATGCCTCAGTTTCCCCATCTATAAAATGGAGATAATAATAGCATCTACCTCCCAGGATTGTAGTGAGGATAAAATGAGATCATATTTGTAAATTGTTTTTTATTGCTAGCTATCATTATCATTATTATTATTATTAAAGTTGTGAGGATCAAATGAGTTAACCTAGGTAAAGCACTTTGTGAATCTTAAAGCCCTGTATAAAACCTAGCTGTTATTATTACGTAAATGTAAGCTATTGTCGTTCTATCTCTATGTTCAGGGCTTGCCTCTCTCAGATCATCTATTATCCTTTTTGTCTTTAATACTCTCCTGGTTAGTGTACATACCATTTGTTGTCTTTCTTGTTAGTTATCTTTTTATACAAGTATCCTGACTCCCCAGCTAGATTGTAAGCTTCTGAAATCAGAGATTTCCCCTTTGTGTTTATATTCTTCCCTTCCCCTCCCCTCTTGTTGCCCTGTGTCCAAACTAGGAGCTCATGGAGTGTTTGTCAAACGTGAATGAATGAATGGATGGATGAATGAATGAATGACAAGATGGGGAAAGAGGGGGAGGAATTGGGTGAGTAGTAACAGTTGGGCTGTCACCCCCTTTCCTCCACCAGGTATGAGCGCCTAGAGGAGCAGTTGAATGACCTGACAGAGCTGCACCAGAACGAGATGACCAATCTGAAGCAGGAGTTGGCCAGCATGGAAGAGAAAGTGGCCTATCAGTCCTACGAGAGGGCTCGAGACATCCAGGTATATAGGGGTTGAACTAGGCCGGGCCAGGCCAGGCCAGGCCAGAGGGTCCTGAGGATGGGTTTTTCCTCCTGTAAGGACTGGTGATAACAATAGGGTAGGCATCTTTTCTTTGCTAGGCCAGGGCAGATAGGAGCATAGAAAGACAGAAATGCACAGAGGGGGAAAAATATCCAGCAACTATTGGTGAGATAGAGCGAGGGAAAGCACGGGCATAGCCAGACAGACCCAGGTACACAGTAAGAGGTAGGCAGTTGCAGATGGATCAGTCTGTGGATAACACCCATCCCCAGACTGTCTGCATTGTAGCCTTGCAAGTACATCCTTGCTCTTGCCGGTCACCAGACTGCATTCTCATCCTTGTCATGAGGAGCACTATTTGTAGAGCTCTTCTGATTAGATTGAATCAACTTACTCCCTTTCCCAAGCCCTCATTTCCTAGACTCTTAGCCTCTGGAACAGCCCAGATCTTACTTGTAAATAGGCAAAACGCAGGAGTGGTAGTCAGAAGACATAGTCCCAGCTCTGCTGTTAACTTGCTGTGTGATCTTAGACAAGTCACTTCTCCTCTCTGGGCCCCAGTTTTCTCATCTGCCCAATGAGGGAGTCAGAATGGACACTCTCCAAAGCCCCTTCCAGCTCTTAGTCACTGTTCATCTGGGAGCCCCTCTCTACCTTTTCCAATGTGTTGAGACTTTTTACATTTTAACCTTCCCAGTGTGAGGGCTCCAGCCCAGATCCATCCCCTTCCCCATATGTTACAGGTGGGTTTAGAACTCCAGAGTAGGCTTCCTGGGCAGATAGATCTCCCTTCCTCACTCTTATCTTCTGCTCCACCTCCAGGAGGCCGTGGAGTCCTGCCTGACAAGGGTCACCAAGCTGGAGCTCCAGCAGCAGCAGCAACAGGTGGTCCAGCTGGAGGGCGTTGAGAACGCCAATGCCCGGGCACTGCTGGGCAAGTTTATCAATGTGATCCTGGCGCTGATGGCCGTGCTGCTGGTGTTCGTCTCCACCATCGCCAATTTCATCACGCCGCTCATGAAGACCCGTCTTCGCATCGCCAGCACCGCCCTCCTCGTCCTCATTCTCTTCCTCCTCTGGAAACATTGGGACTCCCTTAGCTACCTCCTGGAGCACGTGCTACTGCCCAGCTGAATCACCAGCCCCAGCTCCCAGGCAGCTTCTTTTCCCTAGTGGGGAGACCTGGCCCCCCTTGGACTTTTTTGTGTGTTTGGTTCAGGCTCTCGCCCCAGATTCCTGCACTCTGTTGCCCTCCTCCTTTTTCCTTGTGTTTCACTCATATCTGATAATGTTTCCTCCCTCCCAAGGGGAAACTCATCCCAGGGTGGATTGGAAGCTGACTGCTTCCCTCCCTCAGCACAGATATGGTAATCATAACAGAGTGGAGAAGAAAACCAAGGATTATATTTATTTGATTATTTAAAAGACATCTGCTGGCCTAGAGATGGCCCCAAGGGCCCAGAAGTCCATTGAGAGAGGGAGGAAAGGCCTCTGCTCTGAGGCCCTTGGGAGGGAACTACTTTGGAGACCTCTTTCCATTTGAGCTCAGGACAAAGATGGGCAAGCAGACCAAATGGGAAAAAGGAAGAAGTTCACAGACCCCTGAGGTCTAGGAGAGGCCACTGGAGGGGAGGGGTCTTTGAGGGGGCAGGAAGTGTTCCCTAGCGCCCCAGAGGTCTGCAGGGCCCAAGGAGACTGAGAGGAGCTGGTTCCCAAGCCTGGCTCAGCCATTCTCTGCTGCAAAGCTGAGCCCTGTGATGTCGACTGGAGGGTGAGGGGCCCTGTGTCTTGGGAACTGTGTGCTTTTTTTTTTATTATTGTTTGTCTTTTTCATGCTGTCATCGATCTGTCATTTTTCAGAAAAATACAGTTTCCTCCCTGCCCCCACCCAGGGCCCCACGCCTTAGGTCTTGGGCTCTTGTGAGTACTGTCAAATTATTTATTTATTTATTTATGACTGCATTTCTTCTTTCCATCCTGAATTCCAGGGAGCCCCCTTTCCCCAAAGTATACTCTCTTTGTCTTCTTTCCCTGGAATCAGAGTCTTACCCTGGGGATTCCTATATGGGTGGTAATAGCACTTCCATACAATTTACTTTCTGGATCACTGAGTCCAGATTGGGAACAAAGTTATCAAACCCCCTTTACCCTATGGGAGCAGCTCGCCAGCTGGGACAGGAGTAGTTAAGTCTTGGCCTCCATTTTTTACGTCTATTTATTGTTTGTATATGGGTGTGTGTGTGTGTGTGTGTGTTTTGTTTTTTTTAAGTCACTGGAGTGTTGTGTGTGGTTGCTGTTCACGGTCCCTGCCTTCCCATTGGCACTTCCAGGAGAAAAGGGGGTTCCTGGGAGAATGAGCAATGGAATCCTGGGGTTAGGGTGAGCCCTGCCCACTTTGGAACTTGACTGGGGATTTCAAGAGAAATAAAGAACCTCCCTGAATTCTCAAACCCATATTGTGTTACCTGAGTTGATTGTCAAGGGCGTGTCCATGAAAGCCACTGTCCTATGTTCTCTTGTACTTTTCCTGCCAACTATAGTAAAATAGCTGTAGTAAAATGGGTGAAATCGTTGGGAAAATACTACTATTACTACCACTACTGATGAAGATGAAGATAACAGTAGTTACTGATAGTTAACCATTGCAAAGTGCTTTTCCTCCGAATAACCCAGTGAGGTAGGTAGTCCAAATAGTATTGACTCCATTTCACAGATAAGGAACTGAGGCTCAAACAAATTAGTGTATTACCTCTGGTCACACAACTGGCAAATGTCAAAACTGGAATTGGAATTCAGGTGTAACGTAAAATCCTGTCCTCTTTCCACAATATTTCATTGCCTCCATGCAGACAATTATCATTAATTTTCCTGGGTCTCAGTTTCTTCCTTTGTGAAATGGGAATAATGATACAGGGTTGTAAGGAAAGTGCTTTGCAAATATTAAATGTGAGTTGCTGTCATTATCATCATTATAATGATTAATTGTTATTATTTCCCCAAGTATTCAACCCATTTTTACTAGATAGGGTTAGACTAGATGGCCTCTAAGATCTGTTCTGGCCCTACATCTATGATGCTATGACTGGTGCACAGAGAACCTGGTAGCAACATCTGGAATCATGGAGCATCCAGAAATTAGCATTTTCAAAGAAATAGCCCATCCCCTATGTTTCTCTTTTCTGTCCTTCTCCATCCTTTTTCATCTGGGAAGGTTTCTTGGAATAGGGGAATTTGAGAGAAATTTGTCATCAGTTGATGACAAAGGCCCTCACAGTCATACCCAGATATAGCCACAAGAGGGAAACAAAGCCCCTGCTTTTCCTAGGTCCACTCTGAAAGAGGCCACCCTTAACCTTATACCCCAGCTCTGCCTCAAGAGGGAGCATTTCTTTGGATGAATTAGCCTGCTTGTTCATTCCCTTTCCAAGCCAGTTGGCCAAGAGCCCTTCCCCATTAGGAGTTCGAGCCTTGAACAAGGAGGCCAGGTGGCCTGATAATGATCCCATTTCAACTCCTGCCCCTCTCTACAACTTACCATGCCTTGAGAGCACTCTGGCCCAAGCTCTGCTCCCACAAAGGCCACCTTTGCCTACCTGTACGAAACCCACAAGAGACTCTGGGCTTTCTCCCAGATGATGGAGCTGCTGTGGTGGTGAGGAAAGAATGGTCCCTGCCAGCCCCATTGTGGCAAAGACTGATGGTGTACGGCAGTCAAACTCAAACAGAAACTGATTCCTGTGGGCTGCATATTGACATCGAAAAACCGCAAATTAGCATTATCTATGTTTATTGTATTTTTACTTATTTTGTTAAACGTTTCCCAATTACATTTTAATACTCCAGGAGTTTCGTGAGCCACTTGTGACCTGAAGGTGGGAAGTCTGACATCTCTGAGGAGAGGTAGACTTCTTAACCTGGGGTCCACAAACTTTTTAAAGAAATTTTGATAATGATATTTTAATAGAATTGGTTCCCTTTGTAATTTCTATATTTTATTTTATGCATTTAAAAAACATTACTCTGAAAAGGGGTCCTAGACTTATCTAGACTGCTTGGGGCCCCCAACACACACATATATGAAAGATTAAGTGTTTTGTTCAAGGGGAAAGAGCATTGAACTAGGAATTTAGGAAATCTGATCCTCAGATTCACTTAGTTCTAGTCTCATTATTAGCATAATATAAAACAAACTCTTTTCTCTAAGCTTCTGATCTTGAAGTCAGGAAACCTGGATTTGAATGAAGAGGGTGGGGCGTGGAGAAGATGGGGAAGGATCTCATTGGGCCTTCATAGTTTCAGGTTTAGATGCTCACTAGCTGTGTGACCCTGAGTAAATCCCGTCCCTTCTCTGACCCAGTTCCTCCTCCGTGGAACGAGGCTACTGTTGTCTGCACTATAAAATACAACAAATATTTATTCTGTGTGCCAAGCACAATGGTAGGCAGTGAGAGAAAGAGAGAGCTTTAGATAAAACTGCCCAAAATTTAGATTAAAACTGCACTTGAATTCGGGGAGTTTACCATTTAGGAGGGGAATAAAGTCATTGTTAATACCCAGTTGTATAGTAACATGTCCAAATTGGCTTCTTAGGTGAAATGTCAGCTCCTTGAGGGCAGGACACACAGTTTTATTTCTTTGGATCCCCAGTATCTAGCAGAGTAGCACACTATGTAGCACATAGTAGGTTCTTTAAAAATGCTTGTTGGCTAATTGAAGTACCCCCAAAAAGGTACAGAGCCAAGTGTTGTGGGAGGCTTGAGGGGAAGGCTGTTACTGACTGGGGAAGGTCACTCTCCATCTCTCAGGCTTTCAAGGGAATTGCCTAAACTTTAAAGTGCTGTCATAATAATAACTCATATTTACTTGGCATCTCCTTGCAAGCTCCAATTCTGTGAGCTAGGTAATGCCCCTAATGTTCTCCCCATTTAGCAGCTGTTGCAGCTGAGGCAGCTGAGGCTGAGAGGGGAAGGGAGTTGCTTAAGGTCCCTTGCTCAATAAATGAGTGTCAAAGCTTGCCTTGACTTGCTGAATTATTAGATGTCGGAACTCCAATCTTCTGACTCCAGGATTAGTATTCTTTCTGCTGTGCTATGTTAGCTCTGAGTTTCCTATTATTTATTTCTCCCTCTGTCAGATAAGGGTGTTGGATTTTGGATGGTCCCTCAGGTCTCTTTCCATTTTGATATTCAGTGATTCTCTTCTGTCTCAGGAGGCCACTTCCTCCCCCTCTCTCTCCTCCCCTAGGGAGATGGGGCAAGCAGGGAGCCTACATTCCTGGACGCAGGTGGGGGGTGGCTGTTTTCTGCCACAGACATTTTACACATTCCTCCTCAAGGTCAGGAGGCTTCTGTTCACTGGCTCTCAAAAACAATTCTCTCCCTGCTGTCCTGGCTACCAGGGAGGGAGAGAGGGAAGGAGGGGAGGGCAGGGGGTCAGTGTCGCCTCAGCAAATCTGGGACTGACAGAGCAAACACCTAGCCCAGGGGAAATATCCAACCAGCAAAAAAAAAAAAGAATGCCCTGCAAGGAGAATGGGCCAGGCCTCTGAGCCACTGACCACCATGGGCCTGGAATTGTCCATTTCCAGGAAAAGCGACCTGGTCTGCCGTTGCCTGAGCTGGGAGCTGGGAGCTGGGATTCCTTGGTTCAGCCTGCTACAGGGAAGAGCATATTGGATTGGAACAAATTCTGGCTTTGTTCATTATCTCTGTGACCTTAGGCAAGCCACATCCTTTAGCTGGGCCTCAGTTTCCATTTTTGTAAAATGATAAGGCTGGTCTGCATCAGGGACTCTTAACCTTTCTTCTGTCACAGACCTCTATGGCAGTCTGATGAAGCCTAGTACTTCTGTAGTACATTCATCATCGAAGGAAACACTACATTTCAGTTACAGGTTAGTGAAAATAAAGTCATTTTTTCCCATCCAAGTCCATGAATCCCTTCAAATATATCTATGGACCCCAGATTAAGAATCCCTGGTCTAGATAATCTCTAAAGTATCTTTTAGCTCTAAATACTATGGGTCTGTTTTCATTTTTTGGTCATGGACTCTCCTATGTTATTTAAGCTCAGTTATTTGCCTATCTTGGGCCCTGGTGTCCCTTTATAAAATGTATTGGGGGGTCCCTGTGTCTGTCTTTTGCCCACCTTTGATGTGGGCAAGGTTGAATTTGGGGCCATGAGGACTTGGGAATCCCTCATCTGGGTGAAGAAGAAGCTGACCATTCAGTAGTGTCTGCCTCAGATAACTGGCTATTTCTTGGAGCTCCTGCCCCTTCAGGTCTCAGTCCCCACCCCTGGCAGGGATACTGCCTCTCTTGGGAGGGGCCATGGCATGCATCCAAATTGGCACACAATAGGCCTTAGTCCATCTCTAGGGTGGGGATGGGTGAGAGAGTTCTCTGCCCAGGGCCATCTCTTCATCTCACTGATGGGCATTAAACAGGCAGGTGTCCAAGGCGGCACGCAGGGCCTGTTAGAGCATGGTTATGATGCCTATGGGGAATTAGGGTGCTCCCCACCCTCTTGTTTGGAGAAAGTGAATTCCAACATGTGGGGCTTGTAACAATCACTGTAACCCAGTGGTGTCAAACTCAAACAGAAATGGGGCCATTAAACTATATGTAAAGATCCCTGCCAACAGCATATTGACTTAGAAAGCCAAATGAATATCATCTGTGTTCTATTATATTTTATTTTTTTATTTATCTTGTTAAATATTTCCCAATTACATTTTAACCTGGTCCAGGAATCATGTGGGACCCATGTGCCCATGTGGGTTTGACACCCATAGTGGGTAAAAGGTGAAAAAAGGTTTGGAGCTATCGAGTATATCAATTTATTAAACAACGCATACCAATTGTCAAACAAATAGGAACAGGCCTCCTCAGCTTAGGGCTGGATCCCAAATACAAAGGGAGCCAGACTTTTATGCATTAAAAACAATTAATGAAATAAGACCAATTAATTAAAAGCAAACAATGCAACATTAGGTGATCTGATTTCTGGCTGGAAGAAAGATTAGGGACTTTCTGAACTGGGAGGAGAAGAATGAACAGGTGCAATTCTCTGAATTCAGAAAAGGAGGTGTCCCACTCCCCCCAAGGGTCTGTGAACAATCAAAGGAACGTGGAAACAATGACTGATCAGTATGGGCCAGTTTTAAAATAAGACCTACAGGTTGCTTGAGATGTACAATTGTGAGAAAACTCCTTGCATCAATCTTTGGCTCTGACTGGATTTCTGGTGGGAACTGAGGTCCTTAGTTAAGGGGTCTCTGAACAGCTGGTGGAGGTGGTCCAGCTTCCCAGCCACACAGGGTTAGATTCAAACAATACAATAAGGTTTTCTCCCAATTCCCAGAATTGAATATTTTTCTCACAGGACAGAAATTGAACTAGACCCATAATTGAATAGAAAGGAAACTGAGCTAGCTCCAGAATTGAATCAC